TTCCTTTACAGCTAGCATTGACTCGCAACCACATACTACTGACTCAGTGGGTCGCCACTGCTTTCATCTCCACTGTCAAAACATTGAGCATGAGACACCAGTATTCTGCCGTGATTAAAGTTCACTTTCAGCGGGCATATCCACAATATAGGGGATGTCATCATTTGCATTACAAGACTACGCTAAAGCCCATGTGGTAAGCATATATTTCTGTGCTGGGAATCAAATCTGATTGCCCACTTTATGCGACACTTGTTGATGCTGATCTATCATCCTACGTTCATGCGTTTTCTCCTACAGCTAGTCTGTAGCAAATGGACAAATTTCGTCACCTGACTAGCTGTTGTAACAAAGGCTTCAGATGAATTTTCCCTGCTTCCTATACTTTGATCCCTATGGATGAGTTTCTTAGGAATTCGGTTGGTTGAAGTGACCCCTACAATGATTGCGGTTGGACTGTGCACATTAAGATTTGAGCATCACTCCCTACAAGCAACCCTTGAATCGGGAGCCTACTTATCGCACCCCTATATTCCGGCAACTAGCGCTGGTCATTCAATATGTAATGTGTGTCACCCTACAGTCCACGCAAATTTTTACATCTGAATTTATACAAGCGTGTGAAATTAGGAAATTTCTAAAGTGAATTGCCCAAGTTTATATCTCACATTTAAATGTGCTTCTAAGATGAGTACCTTTGGACTGAAAAAAGAGTGCATAGGCATTAAATATGGCGCATGATTTAGACATATATGTTCCGTATTACTGTTCGACAGTTTAATTGTGGCTCCATTCTACCCTTATTGCCCATGAAAAGTCAGTTTTTGGTCACAATTTCAACCGTAGATACGGACAGAAATGTACGAAAGTGAACCACCGTCGTTAGGAAGGAATGTGGCTCTGGCAGGACCGTGAGATTAGATAATAATCAACACTTTTGCCATTCAAAATCGCTTGTGGCCAAAGAAATTGGCATGTTTCATGCCATTTTTTAATATCAAGTTAATCTTATCATAAATGTGTTTGTGGGATGAATTTTCCATGGTTTGGATGTGAAAATTCTTAAGTCAGGCTCAACGAAAGGAATTAATTATAACGGATATGCCCTGTTTATATTTCTTATACAGGTAGCAAAAATATGAAACCCACAGCAGTGGCATTTGCTCGGAAATGTGTTCTAGCAAATTTGAGTGAAGAACGGAAGATGGAACAAAACTGAAAAGTCTTCCAGGAAAAGACATATTACTTAAGCAAAATCTGGTTTACCTAAAGTTATTCCAGTGGTGCCAAGTAACCCAACGCTTTTGGCACCTAGCTGTTGAATAAGTAGTGATAAAATGTTTTCTGTCTACCTTTTATTCGTTCCCAACGCATGTAGAATCACTCCCAGCTAGTGGAACCCAAATTCCTTCAGCTCTTTATCAGAACTGCCCCCTCCAGCAGAGTAGTGTTGCAATCTGAAAGGTGCCAAAATGGCCTTGATAAGCTTCTATGTCTATGAAGGGTAATGATTATACAAGTTATTGCCTGGTGTTCAAACGAAAACACGATCGTGTTTATCACGTCAAAGGGAAGTCTGCCAGACTGACCGCTATATAGATCGCGCCATTGTTCCGAACTCGATACTGCTCTGAGCAGCATTTTCTATTTTTAGAAGACAACCATGCAAGTGCTGGCTGGAAGGCTCAACTGCTTCGTCTGCGAATGCAGTGAATTTTTCTAGAGGTTACTTAGAAGGATTATCAAAAGGAGGCGATTAAATTTCTCACAATTTTTAGGAGATGCTTACGTATAGATCATCGGTAAAGTCCATTTCAGTGTTTAGTTATGCCCTTTCCCATCTTGTGCACATAGATTCAACGATATTTGAGGTGAGTCTGGTGAACAAGGCGAATGCTAATATCTTACTTCTTATTTCATCTACCAGCCTACGTGCAGCTGTAATGCTGTCCTGTATTGACAGGACCCGCATAGTACTTTCACAAACCAAAGCTGAACAATACATCAAGAAGTCCCTTAGAATGACACAACCGTAGCGAGCTGTCATAGAATAAGACACGATGATGAGTTGGCGTGGATGTGCAAACTGGAATTAACACAAGCCCCTCCGCAACAATTAGACCCGTGAGAGTTCGCTTGTCTCCCTTCCTGGAATAATGTCTTGGGTATTGCCGTACAAAATTTATGATCCATTATTAAAGAAAGCGAGAAAAAATCTACTATACGACATTTCTATTCTCCTACCTCAATGTAGAAGATTTATGCTTTGAATGATCATTTAATTTTGCGTTCTTGTGAGGGTTGAGACATTGTTCTATACTTTTATATTATTACTGTAGAAAAATGCTTCTTTCAAATGCCAGACGGTCTTTTTTTGGAAACAGATTTAGACCATGATTTGTCGAGTTTGCATATTTAGAAAACCTGAGTGGATTCATTTACGCTCATCAGAAATTCTTAAGGATTCCCTCAATTGGGCTACCGTGAATTCTTTGTGTCTTAACCTACTGAATGCAAACTATAACACTGTTATCGAGAAATACACTCATCTGCAATTCAATTTGGTTTTCACGGGTGACTCAATTGAATCTCTCGTTTATGATGTCCTCCAGCTAAATGTGCTGCACACAGGCCGCCTCGTGATTCAGTTGGCACGATATTCGAGATATCGCAGTATATTTTCATACAGGAAACTACTCACGCTTACACTGTTATATCACATTGATGGAGACGTCTAGTTGTTCTCATCACCCATGAAATGAGGAGAACAAAGTAACATGCGTCATTTATCATTATTCAGGAAGTAAGTTACCAACCCTAGTTGGTTTGAATTAATGAATCAAGGTATCTGTTGTTCTGGATGACGATTGCGCAATTACGCTGACAAAACTGCCCGGCTCTTGCCAAAAACATCCCACTTTATTTGTTTTCGCTATTCACGTTCCAATTGGAAAGATTTGTTATCACATCAACAAATCAGTAGCAAACACCGCCACCTTATTGCAACTGAATTTTGTATTCCAGCTTCAGGAATGCAGGAAATATCAATGACAAATTATGCATAGTGTGCGCGGCGACATCTTGCTGACTAATTCACCTAAGAGTTCGCGTGTTAGAGAATGTGATACAGAAAACTGGGCATGAGTACAGTGTACAGCCGTTAACCCTCTGGGCTGTTGTGTCTGCAGCTGGAATCTAAAATGGGAGTGATTAATAAGTGAGGCAGGAAATACTTAGGGCGTAACAATAAAGGAGTCGGAGCGTTGCTCGTTCCTGTTTATTGATTCATTGGTAGGCGGATAATGTGTCAACAAACGATGACTGGTGTGGTAAAAGTTACCCATTTCGATTTATTACCTTATAGGAAAGTCAAACATGGATAAAGTACTGTTCGTGATTACGAAGCGTAGCAAGACTGTTACTGCGAACGTTTCTAGTGTACCTTCAGACAAAGATGTGTTAAACACCAGTTTAACTATTGTGTATGATGGAGTAGGCTAAACCTATCTAAAAGTATGCAGTCAAGAAAGTTACTAGCCAGCACGGCCAAAAGATCAGCGGTAGAGTTAGAACCAGTATCTAGCTGATCCACTTAGTGCGACGGTTTATGTTTTTTTTATTTAAAATAAATAATTGGTTTGACTACTATACTATTTCTAAAAAACAAAGACTAAGTCATTCGAAGTAAGTAACTTCTTAAAGATGGATAACTGACTGTAACGCCTATCATTATGTCGTCATTTATTAAGCTGATAGGTAAAGGGATTTCCGCTTCCTTGAATAGAATAAACAATTTCATTTAGTTAGACCTATAGGACTGTAGATCTATAGACAGATGAGTTTCGTAGAACAATTTTTTTGGTAGGAGAGGCTTCATATATGTTGGCAGTGCTGCTTGCTGAAACTACACTATTCCGTGTGACTCATTTGTGCCCCAGACCGTCTGATAGCCTGGCTTGATTCGCCACACAGAAATGACCGAACAATTGCAACTTCATCTTCACCAAACTTCGTTCATTCACCACTGGACAATTAGTCACTACACACTTGCAAGCATCCAATTTCAATAATTCGATGTCCGGGAATCACAATCTTGCTATCACCACACAAGTCAGACGTATCTCCCTTCGTTGGCTACGTTTTGTGCTCAGACTGTGGTGATTTGAAAACCAGAGCCCATTGATGTAATCCCCAGGTGGCATGATTTAAATAATTTTTGCTCACCTTACTGCAACAACAGCTAAAATATTGAGCCCTTCCCTCTGCCTTCAGTAGACATGATAACCGTCTAATCGAGTTTGACCTTTAGCAGAAGGCATGAATTCAAGCGCAGGAACATTTGCTTAATGGGTTGCGAATGTTTCGCTTGTTGGTTCTGATCAGATAGAGAAGACCACCGGGACAAAGCTCAACCTTTGCCTTCTTCTTCAATTTGGTGCACACGAGCAAAATGATGTGGAAGCCAATGCAATCAAAACGGAGACAAAATAGTACACTGATAGGGAATAGCGAAATGAGCTATCTCAACACTTGTGAATAGATCTCATTTGTCGTTGCAACTCAGGAATTGTTACAGGGCTGAGATTCCAAACAGAACAAAACAAGAAAGCACGTGCTCGCATGGTTAAGGAATGACGCACCTGTGAAGCAAAAAACAGATCGATTAAGTCCTGTATCGATATCATGCTAACCTGTGCTCGCACCGTGAAGCAATGTGGTTTTAAATGGAAGAGAATTTGCGTGAATCTGCTGCAGAGATTAAAGTACCTAATTAAGCGTGCCTTTATTCAGTCCAGCTTCGCCAATTGCGTCATCAGTGTGATTGACAACGGTACTGTGGTTTAGGCGAATATATTGTTGTTTCATTCAGCCCTTGACCTGGTTATGTTGCCTGGTTGAACCTATGTAGAAAAGTGAGCTCTGTATATAGCAGCATGTAGAATAAGTAACTTTGTGACAACTGCCAACAAGTATATGACCAGTGAACAATTCAGACTTACCTTCTATGTACAAAACTCGATAGTCTGTTAATTTCCAAGAAGAGATAATTGCAGTCTCTGGAAATTTTTGAACAACTGCCTCTGCGTTCAACTCCATGTCCAAAGTGGCAGAGTCCTGAATATCTCGATCTACTGGTAGACTTTCCGACGGGCGATTCAATGCCGTTGTGGATGTCAGGGTCGCATTTTTGAGCACACCAGTTGATGTTTGCTTTTCCGATGCACAGAAGGAGCACAATAAGTGAAAAATAGGAAAAACTACAAGAAATGTCTTTGATCCAAGCACAAATGACGATAGTCGTGTTTTCCACATGTTTTACAGAGAAGACAGATTCGACGGCACACACAGTTAGACTTGACGTTCAACTTATGTACAAATACCTGACTAGTTGAACGGCACCCGAACGAACAGAGTGCCTTTTGACGTTAACGATTATTATTTCGGTGGTGCGTGTTGAAACGATGATGTTTTTGTTAGGTAGCTTTGGAATTTCTTGTTGTCCACCGTTTGAAGAATTGCACTTTTTCTCACCTGTGATAGATGAGTGGAAATCATTCTTTGTAAACCGACCTCCAGGCTGTGGATCATGAGAAAAGGAAATAGCAACAATTTGATAAGACAGGAAATTTGGAACTGTCAGAAAAGTCTTTTAGAACTAAGATGTTACGATAAAATGCTTTTCCTCTGCTTTAATTAACGAAAAGACCAGTGATAATCAGTCCGTGTGACTCATTAACCTTAGGTACAATTGTAGTAATGCCATATTTTACGTGATTTTAACAAATGGAATGGAATGGAAGCACTTTATATCGGAATGTCCATGATAGCACGGAACATTAACCAAAGACTTCCCTAAAATCACACCACAAAGCGAGAAGGAAACGGCCGAATCACAAGGGAATAACCACAAACAGAACTGCCGAAGTGAATGCGCCCAACGAACCAACCAGAGACCACGTCAGATTCACAGAAGGCCAATGAGACTTCGTGAAGACCGCTTTTAGAACTACCAGATACTGTTTAGATGCAGAAGAGGAGGAGAAGAGGAGGCAGAAGAGGAGGAATTCACCCACTCAACCATGCACTGATGTCACCTCAATGAAACGTTTGCAACCCAACTGCCAAGCTCGGCGAACAGACCAACAACCAAGCAGCACACCCGAGCTACCTACATTCCAAAACACTTCCCTAAACTCTTCGCTGATAAGGGGAGTTAATCGTCTTATGCCGTTAACATGTAACCGGCCGCCTGATGCAGCATATTCTCTTCGAGACTATCACCGTGAATCTGAATTGCAGTCAAAAGTCCGGCTTCCAGGATGTGACCTAAGAGGGTCGTCGCAGTTGCAGCATGTTTAATTGGGTGACTTCAGTACTATTTGTCGTTCGGAAACTCTCTCTGATATAAGGTCACGCAAGATGAGGTAGAAAGGGATTTCGTCGTGCAAAATGATCCAGCACCTTCCAGGATTTGCACAACACACTGCGAAATCTGTTGTGGCATACAAGGTATGGTTAGTAGACAAGGTGAGAGGCGGGTGACAATTTCTCCATCCGTAAAAAACCAACAATTCTGTTTCCAAAATACATCTTACCGCCTACATTTTCTTTCTTTTTCTTAGCCCGCCTCAAGAATGGATAAAACGAATGTCTTCAGTTCACTACATATCTTCTAATTAGGAGGTAATGTTATCAGTATTTGCAAGGTGGTAGATTTCAGAGACCATATGTGATGATTTTTACGAACATGATGCTCCAAATTCCTATCCTTTCGTTATTTATCCATGTATACGCATCACCCACCAGGACCAACTACGATTTGAGAAAAACTATTTTATCATGCACACATGTTTAGACAACTGCAAGCTGGCTTCGTTTACGTCCTTAGGGTTGTAAAACTATTTAGGGACACCCGGTGCACTTGCTGGTTTATTGCACTGAGTTGATGAAAATTTGAAATGAAGAATTATGCATTTCAGTTGTCAGCTATGGCAAGAATTAAGAAAACTCATATTAGTAGCTGCCAAGAATGCAGGAATATAAACGTATCTGTGCGAACAGAATCTATGCATCGTAATTTGTCAACAGTTAATCTGTTTTTATCTCAATGTGAATGGAAGCCTTCAGAGGAATTTCCAGATAGTTCTAAATGACAAAAAGATGTTATTCTACTTCCAATTTCAGCATGACTGATATAAACTACACCCAGTGGTCCGCTTTCACCGCTTCGATTGTTTTCACAGGCATCGACCAGACCACATAACTGATCGCAAAACATTGCGAAATCGGTCACTAATACATTGATTGTTGACTAGATAGTTGATGACGCTTTCGCCAAGCTTCGCGACCGATCTGCACACGTTTTTTAACAATCAAGGGGATGAAATTTGTGCGTTCGTTGATACGTCTCGATTCAGGTGATGATCGCTCTGGAAGGTCGCTCGCACTTTCTCTCCCTCTGCGTGGATGAGCTAATGCTGTGACGGTTGTGTAAGGGAGGGGGATTCGGTGACCTTTGGTCGGGTTTGGATTTCCACCCCCCACCTTCTGTTTTTGCTAATGATTCTACGTCCATTGACAACCACACACAGTCGCGTGTCAACTCGGTTTATCTAAGACCGCTTTCCTTAAGCTTGCCAGTTCCACACCCTCGATTCTGTTCACACTGTGATGCTTGGTAAATTTCACCAACTGGGCTACCAGCTGGTGTGAATCGCAGTCCCCGTCTTAACACTTTCACATTCCTGAGATCTATTCCGTCCTGTATCAAACTCGTGCAGCACCATCGATGATTCCTTGATTAGTGTTTAATAATCTTCCGCATTACATAGTGGTCTGTTTATCCTCATTTATCCTCACCATTTCTGGTGTGCAATTCCCTGCCACTTTGTCCTGTGCAAACCTTAGTGTAATCGTTGCAGTTAAATTTATAGGAATGGTCTTTAGTCCCCTCAACATGGAGGGAAACTTTTCATTGCCCCAATAATGAGCGTGGTGTTTTTCCCTCCTGGGAAGCTAATCGAATGCTGGTTAAATTCAGCAATGCCCGAATGATCCACATTGTTCCTGCTTTATATGCAGTGACTGCTGCACCAATCCACTCATTGCTGTGTCTGAATACCGGGGACAATATCATTCTTAGTTGACGCTTAATCAAACTCACTGATTATCCTGATTTAGACGTCTGTTAGCGCTCCCGGTTTGAACTGCTGTTCTGTCGATCTCTCCTTGCGTAGCTCCCTGACTCCCGTAAAATTCGATGAGACCATACTGGCGTACGCGAACTTTGGGTGTGCTGATGAGTAGTTTAAGACGGTTTCTGTTCCTGTTGGTTTCTGGTATATAACAGTTTTTAATTTTCCACCACCCACGTGTTATATAATTCAGAAAGTGTAATATGCCCGGGATCGACTCTATCGTCATGCTAAACTTGATTTGTCGACTTAAACTATTGAGATAACCGTGGAATTTGTTCATGCTATCTCGTTCGATTACAACAAATGTATCGTCAATATAACGTCAAAAATGGAAAATGATATCCGGCCGAAGCCATTCGTTTGAATTTCCCCATAAAAATATTAGCCAACATTGAGGATACTGGAGATCCCACTGCAGGAGCTTCTCCTTGTGATTCGACAGTTGTGTCGACTACAAACTGATCTATATTCACACACTCTTCGCCCTCAACTATTTCACCCACCGAGAGCTATAACCTTTCCTCAGGTGTCATGTCTGCATGTAACAACCTCTCTTTTACCCCCAGATCATCTGGGCTGGGGATGTTTGTGTACATTGATATTAAGTCAAAAATCACGTTACATAGCAACACATCTACCGATGGTTTACAGCAGTTTTTGAAAACAACAACTGCTTTATCTGTTTCAAGCGTTTTTTCAAATGATTACCATGATTCCATTTAGATCAAAATCAAATTTATATTCTTTAGCCGTGTGTGCAAAGTGCGAGTTGCTACAGATATTTGTAGCATGGAAGTTTGGAATCTTGCCATGATTTTTGAATACCGAACGCCTGGAAAAAATCATCTTATGACTAAGGTTTAATCTGCGTTTTGGTCCATACCTCAGAAATAAACGCTTGGTGAGCCTCGTGGTGACATGGCTTCTCCAGTGCCGGATGGAGATCATGTGCCCTCTTTGCTTGTTATAAATACGCAACACATATCGGATATGGACGATCTTTAATATGGTTGATTGATTGGCGCACATTTAGACTTTAAAACGAACGTAGAAATGTGACGGTGCTTTGTGAGATATGACAGTTCCTCACAGTTGATCAATGAAACTTCAGTCCAGAATGTTTGCAGTGTCAAACAGCCTAGGTCGCGTTTTGCACGTTGAAGCGAATCGCATCGAACAATGCTCCCCTGCAGTGGATGAAGTCAGGGGTCACAAACTTATTTGTAAATGAGCCATAATCGTCATTTAGTAATCGTATGACTGGCTTCAACTTGTCTTAAAGCCCACTGGATAAATTTTAAGCTCCTTCAAACATTTGTTTACGCCATATTTTATCTTAGTTTACTGTCATTTCTGACAATACATGGTTTTTCTCCACTGAAGGTTCACGTAGAGTGAACCGTTCGTTTTTTATCCAAATGAAAGGACAAAGATACATAATAGTTGAGCGTCACTACGACCCATTTTTTGTGGGCTTGGAAATACAATTTATTATTTCATATTTACGAAAAAGCTATAAATTAAGTTCACTCCAAAACAGATTAAACACTGCTGAAAGCATTCCATCTGTGAGATTTTCGTATTAATGAAATCTAAAGTGTCCTCCCTGTCGAAGATATTGCACCTAACCACAGCTCACACAAGTTATTTCCTGTCTGATATTCTTAACACATTCTATCCCGAATCAGAACTCCATAGACTGCCCATACAAGTATTTGAGTCCAGGTCTTTCCCAAATCCAACCAGATGGATTGAGCGCCAGGTATTCCTGCGTAGTTTGCAGACTCGACTGAACCAGCGGGACGATTTCTGTCATATTACTGGATGTTATAATCATGCTGACATCTGGGTCAGCTCTTTTTATGCTTTGACTCGTAAATTCTGACTATAGGAACCATATTGAACGTTTTTAATGGCTCTTGACAAAATCATATTTATCTCGGGCAATTCTCCACTGGTATGCTTTTGTGGAAAGCCTTGGTGATAAAAGTTAAAATTTAGGGATGTGTGAAAGAAACGGTGTCTTTGAAAAGCTGTTTTCCACTGTGAATTTACACTTTTGTAATGCATATCGGTATTCAGTCAGCATTCTGCAGAATAGACGCAAAGAAAAATCGACAACAATGCGAATGGCACAATGTTAGACCGGCCTTAAATTCTCGATCTGGTTGAAAAAAACGGTATCCTGACCAACATGTTCAGTTAGTGTTACTGTCATGGTAGTTTCATGGTCAAGTGCAACGAGAATCAGGTGGATATCAGACAAAAAAATAAACATAACAACCAGGGTTTGGACTTGATCAACTTGGGTTTTACGCGATAGCTAGTCTCGAGGCTTTTGTTCACCAGCAAAGATTTCAGGTGTAAAACTATTCTGCTAGATCCTAATCGTATAAGCGTAACTTACTGCCAAAGCGATCCCGCAATGCTTTATTCAGAGGTAGCCTTCCGCTCAACCCCAATCGGCCGCGGACTGGCCAGTGTCCAAGAATTCAACTAAATGCGTTCTTCAGGTAAACATTTTAGTTTATATGGGTTCCAGATTGATGTCACCCAGGAACACAAAGGTGAACTAATTATTAGCTTCGAAAAGACCTTAAATCCGGATTAAATCATGAAAAATTCCACAAGCATGAGTGAGCAATTTTTTCAGTTAACCAAGACGTCGAGCATTCTATGGTTAAAAACAGCAAAAGACACTTGAACCTAGAGATATATGGATTTCCTTACTTGGGACCCTTCACTAACATTTTGTGGAGTCTTTCGTAACTTCATGAATTGACACCGGAGACCAAACGATTCAAACAAGATGTAAGGAAAACAAAGAAAGGCGCTTTGGCTCTCGTGTTACCTCTCTTCGATGGGTTTACCACATTCTGAGACTTTCCCTTTTTAAACGTGCCACAATAGCAAATTCAAAATAATATGACGAAAACTGGATAGATATTTTATTTCGACACCGGCGCTCACTGCCAATGATGGCCACCAAGACGTTTCCTCAACTTGTCTTGCTGCCTTAAGTCGTTTGGTTACATATCACCTTCACAAGTTCACAAAATTTAGTTCAGCACGCTCTTAAAAAAACCACCTTTGTCATACTTCAAATGTAGAGGCGCCAATTTCTTTAAGCAGCTTTGAAAGCCATTCCTAGCCGTGGGCATCGATCACAACCCGTAAAATCATTATGTTGATTGGCCATAGCATTTTGTGGTGCCATGTGATGGAATTTGAGCTGTACTCAACCACATTTGCTTTTATTGTTTTTTGAACAAACAGCTGTTACTTTACAGTGAGGCTAAGGACAGGAATTCAATAGAATCTTCAAACGAACATAACTTATGCTTAACCTGATTCAAGTGCTACTTAGTTCTCAACTGCCTGCAGCTGTAACATTTCCTGATTTCATAGGTGATACTTGTGACAGATAAATGCTAGTAGACCTGTTCTTACCTAGTTATCTCGTGTAAGGTGAAATGCTGTTGTACCTGCAAGATCGCACGGCAGGAGCAACTTCTTGTTTTGTGCACAGAAGAAAAAAATCTCCCAAAACTTTGGACATATGTTCATAGTCATTTGTTGCACATCAGGAAAACGGAAGCGAGTACCTAATTGAAAAGTCAAAACAGGCTTTGCCACCATAAAGATTTTGACATTTGTCTCCAAAATGGTGGACTTATTAACTAAAGGACCCAAAACAAAGGTTTGAGGATCTCCGCGAAGCTAAGGGCTAGCAATATTATACAATAAATGTATTCCAAATAGACGTTATGAGTTGCGCAGCGAGTATGTTACAGACAATAATATTGCTATTGCCAGTACGTTTTAATAAATGCATCTCTTTTGCATCTGGTTTATTTTTCTGCAGACCATGTGGTCACAGGGAACATTTTAGTTATCTGAACAACACCATCCCATAAAGTCAAGCTTGAGACATCAAGACAGGCTGACAGAATCCGGCGACTATTGTCTGGACATGGTCGAATTTAGACTGTGTGTTTGAAAAAAGTCAAAACCTTTTAGTGAACGCAAAATGATTAATTAGCTTCTCTGTGGACAAGACAGTCAAGAATCTGGTAGGGGACGTACATGATTCAATAGAGATAAATTCAAAAACATGCATATATATGGGTGAGCCAGCATGATCGTGGGGTCATCTACAGCCGTGCTTAAATTATTTCTCTTGTGGAACCATGTTTGATAAGTTGATGCGAATTAACTTTTTTGAGTTTTGCATCGGGAACATCCGCGACATCACAAAACTAATGAAGTTGATCGGAGATTACGTTCATTTGAGTTACATCTGGCGTTTTGCTTAGTTAACTGTCGAAACGTCACCTAAAATGGTGCAACACCAACGGTAAAGCAGACTCAACTAAATCTCCATCCAGTCTTTCAATCATCTGAATTGTGATATATAAGAGCAAATACCTAAAAGAAGCACAATGCAGGAATATGGTCCGAGAGGAGCCGGTGTAAGGAACTAGCATATATCTCTGCTTTTAGTATGAAACCCCGGGAGAAGCCTCCACTCTTTGAAAAATTCTTTCCAGGTATATTCCTTCGAATGGACGAAACATTTTCAAACGGTTATTCGAGTTCTTTTCGTGTATTCAAGATTTTTCTGTTGATACCTTTCAACCTCCATAGCTCAACAACCCAAATGTCCGGTAGCCCTGAGCAGAATAAGACGTCGCACAAGGAGCGGGATTGCCCAATTGGGTACAGCGCGAATTTAGCGACCGGAGGGTGCGTGATTCGAACCCAACCTCTTCTTCTCGACTTCCCCTGTCTAGGCTTGGGCAACCTGGCAGTATCCCAGGTAGCCTACGGATGGCCTGGCAGCTAGGCACCGGGAGAGTTACACAGCTGAACGTGCTTTGCACAATTTACTAATTTACTTCTTATTACCACGAATTATAAGTTAGCTTTACCTAGACCACATACTTTTAACACTTGTGCCGTCTTCAAAGAATATGTCCTGTAGAACATACCTCAAGCGTGCTATGACATTGCTTGAGCCAATCCCAGTTTTTAAAGACAACATGGACATGAATCTCCACAACTACCATTAAGTACGCGTTTATCGATACACCGCCACACAGAAGTTGTACAGTGGATAGAGTAGAGTTGGTTACTGCGACTAACACAGCTTTTGAGCTAATGTTGAGCATCTGGATGGCTTGCGGCTTCAGCGAGATATTCAAGGGCTGTACCCACTGATCTGGATACAGCAGGCGAGCTAAGTGTCATTTTGAATACAGAATAAAGCGGCATGCTGGAGCTTAGTCCGGAAAACGAGAGACCATCATCAATATGCTTTTTTTAAATTGTAGATGGACGGAAAACTGAACGATGGATTGGAAAGTGAATTTCGCATCTGATTGCATTTAAGGGCACAGTAATGTTCTGACTACCGTGGCTCCACTTTTGGATCACACCTTTTATGCAAAAAAGCAACCATCAATTAACTTAGATAAAGCCAGCAACCTAATTTCTGTAAATGCATATTTGACATTTCTTGACCTGTTGTTTAATCTTCGTGAGCCATCAAGTTTACTCATAGCAATAATCATTATCATTCTTTGTCACGAGGCAACTTTGTCCACCAACCGTGCAGAGCTAGCATGATGAATTTGGCTTTCGTTGCATCGACTCAATTAGTCAATCATAATAACCTTCACACGTGACAGGACATTGTGAATTTTGCGATTGCATCCACGCTTGTTCGAGCGACTTGCATAACATCGTAGGAATTACTGTTAACCTGCATTTCATGTCATTGTTTGCAACCTTTCGCGCGTTCGATACCTGCCTTTTTTCACTAGTAAAATACCTAGTCCGATTCGTTGTTCCATCCCTTTTCAACTGAGAGACGATTATATTCAAAGGTTTAGGTTATCGGATTCTTTCTAGATGAAACTTCCACGCTGATGGGTTTTGATGTACTCTGTGTCTTTGATCCAATCCGCCTCCTCTTCTAAGGGAGGCGAAAACGACCGTTTCGCACTGGCCACGTTTTTTTCACAAATGATCTGTCTAGATCATGCAAAAAACCACTGAGCCAGTTGCACAGTAACCAAGCTTTTAGCTGCCTACAAAGTGTTCTAAATTTGTCCTGTCATTCTGCGCGTTGCAGCGGCGGAACAATAAGGGTAAACAAGTTTATTTTTGGAAAGTTGGTTACTACTGAAAATACACAGCATTCAAGGAATTAAAAAATAACATTTTATTTTCAAAATAACGCATCTTGGTTTATGGCTGCATGGTGTATGAATCTTTATACACTAAGTCACGTTTGGCAGTATCAAAAGCAAAGAAAAAGGACGCACGTTCTCAGGTGATTAAAATAATGTCCACATGGGGTGGTTAATGGTTAGTAGAAGCACAGCTTTTTGAGTGCTTCACACTCGATCCTGCTTTTACCGATATTTAGCGGATGGTATCCTCGCGAAGCTTAATTCATCAAACAAGGCAACGATACAAGTGTGAAAGACCCTGTTTGAGCGATCAAATCAAGATGAACTTGCGAACTTCAGAACTTCTAAAGTAATCAGGAGACTAAACTTATGTGATACGCGGAATTTCGTTTTTGTGACAGTAGGATCTCTAATCAAATGGGCACTAATCAATGTTCCATCAAACTTGGGTAAAAGATGGCAAACCCCTGCTATCCTGATGTACGCAAAAAGCTCGCTTCAATTCAAAATGCCATTTGGAAGATGCCCTAGTTTTTCCTAAAACTGCACTAAGTATTGGGGCCCTTTTTACTTCCCGTTATGTAGTCGATCATTAGCATAATAGGTACTTACATTAGGGATGGATAACAGATCTGGTGAAAGACCCTCAGATTACAACAGCGTTGCGCTTTATAACTTTTTGTAACGTAAACGTTCGTGTTCACTCTATCCGTGATAATGATTCATAGGTGGAAATCGATCTTTTAGACAAACTTTGGGGACACTTATGAGACCACGCGCACGACAACACCAAACAGTGCTTTGCGTGTATGATAACTAGCATTGTAGTAACGAGCAACCTGTAACTTACCTGAAGCAGGCTTTTTGCGAAGCTCAAATCGTTGCCAGATAGCTGTGCCAAAATTGGAGCCTCTCGTCAGAGAACATCACAACAGTGCGTTCAATCGATGCGTTTGGGCGTGGTACGGTATGTGTGCGATGATGCTATGTCAAAGGTTTCGAAGGTATCATCTAGCAAAAAATATGTTGCCTTCAGTATTTCGTTGTACTACGCTTTGACGTTGCCTGGTGATCTGCGATTCCCATTACGCACCGATTGGTCTGTTGCTTTGACCAGATTCAGAGATTACTAAACCAATGTGAGGAATGCACCCGTGCGTGTGTGTGCAACCTTGCAGTGCGTGGGTATTAACATTTTACGTGCTTGTTGCCTGTCGCGCTGTTTTCATGCGAACGTGATAACGCTGGTCGCGTACCTGTGCATTTTCGTGACTGTGTCTCTAGCCGGGTAAGCTTGCATCTAACTCCATAAGCATCAAATCATTGTGTGCTCACACACCCGCTGTTAGTCACGTTGTATCTTGCCGTCTCACAATGCCACATAGTGTGGATGAATTCCAATATGATATACAAACAGACAAAGGCGCATAATAGCCGCACTCAGCCAATCCACACATATCGATCCTGCGAGCTCGAATCGAATTCAGATGAGTGTGTGCCACACAGCTGTTTTGTATTAACGAGTACACTCCAGAATTATCTCGAGTATTTGTACCCTTTTTTCACATTGCATATGGATTCGGATTAGATGTAACATGGCTTAGACATACATCTTTCGGTCCAACTCATCTTGTGTATTTTGTCAGGGACAATTTTAGTCAGCCTTTGGTGAATGTAACGGGCAAATGCATGAATGTTCGATGCTGAGGGTCGTCAGAGACCTCCCGTGGATCACGGAAACCCATGTTACACTTGTGTACTGTTTGAATGCGCTCCTCTATACGTTCTCATTGTTATAAGTATACGCCAGGTGTATGTCTGTAAATAAATCCATGCACCAATTGTATGAAATGAAATCTGAGTCAGACGGGCGGACCTGTGAATAACGCACAACTAGTAGGTGAGTAGAGTCAGTTGTATTCGCATGTCTGGGCGGAAAGGAAACTACTTGGTGTTGCCGTAAAATGAAAACAAACAGAGCCTGGAAGTTGTTGGGTACCAGTAACGGGCGGCAGTTTTATTGTGCTTATTTCATCGGAAAAATTTGACCGTAATGGGGTACCGTCTAAAAACCGTCACTATCCGACCACTCCTGCAAGCATCCGCCCATACAGTTGGCTAACTCGTGTTTAGAAATCAGGCATGTCAACGACGTGCGGCGACAGGCAGTGAATTGTTATAACCGGGGTGTTAAACTAGTCTGTGCTGCCTGAAAAAGAGCTGTAACAGCGTTAGCATAGTGTTAAAATAAAACCGAATCTTAGCGAATATACACTCATCTGCAAACTAATTGGTTCTTTCGTCGAGAGACTCACCTGGAACCCAGCTGAATCTCTCGTTTATGATGTTCTCAGAACCAAATTACATTGCAGATGAGTGTATATTCGCTAATTCCGTGCAATTTGGTTTCAAGTAGAACATAAGGTTTACGGAAACCCGGGGACTGCGCCTACCTGATGAGCCCCAGGAAGGGCGAAACTGGTCGTGGGCTGTCGATGGATTTTCAGCAACCTTATGAGTAGTACATTACAAATAAAATCGAATCTTCTTTTATTATCGTGCATATACTGACCCGTGAAGACAACTTTGTGTTTGAAGCGATTCCCATCATCAAAGTCGGACGACCTGTTGTCCTGATGGCCAGTCGGTTTTTACGAAAATATTTGTTGTAAGCCATGCGTTTAAAAAAGATGTTTAATTCAAAACAAGGCATATCTCGTGCCCATTTCAGTGGAAAACGGATGCATAGTTTTGGGTGACATTTGACCTCCTCGGGGGGCGTGATACAACTGCAAGGATGTCCTCGTGGTGTTGTTGGTTCAAAATACAGCCTATGGTAGAATTTCGGGTGCAATATACTCAAAGTAAGGCATGATTTCGTCATAACTAACAGGGATATACATAAACTGCGCGTTTAGGTGTCTGGTGAGAGTATTTCGCGTGCCAGTGAAAACGCACCTCGTGGACGCTGCAAAAATATGCTCCGAGGAACACCACAATAGGTAGGAAGCGTTGAACGCTAATAGAGATAACTTTTTTCTAAAACCCGTAGAAGTTGGGCTTACTCCGGAAAACAGTTTTGTAGACTAAAGTTGTTATGCATATTATTTTTACGGCGGTCGCAACAGTGATACAGCAGTGGCGGGCATATTCTTGTGGCCGTATGGGACGAAACGATCTCATATAGGCTGAGAATTATGATTGTTTTTATTGTTTCAGTTTCATACTCATTAGATAACATCTCATCCTACGTACAAACCATTCAAACAAAGCTGAAATCCGCAAGAAATCAAGAGGAATGTTGAACGATTTTCACTCGGCACGCATCACGTCCGAGGCTTTGCGATATCTTTGATAATCGTAGATAAAATGCATCACAAAAACTCAGCCAGTGGATATGGCACTACAAAGATAAACGCACAGGTGCTGTCGGCTGAGTGAATTATCTTACGCCTGTTCCCCTCTTTTATTATTTTTCAGCTAAACGTCTTTCACAAAGAAAGTTGCATTTTCCATTTGGAGCGATATCCAATAGGTCGAAGTATTTTTTCGAGTAGGACGCTGTTTATGCGTTTGTGAAAGATTGTAAGTATCGACTACCGGTTTTGCTTGTGCTGGGCATTTCATACAGGCATGGCTCTCATAACTTATAGGGCTACAACTGCGTGTTGGAACACAATCATTGTATCTGCATACATAAATACTTACAATTAAGGACAATAATGTTGATTTCACGAATGAAACTATTGACAAGTTTGCTGAAAACTCTTTGACACCCCCCAACCGGTTTTGCCCTCTCTGGCGCTCATCAGGTAGGCGCGGTTCCCAAGTTTCCGTCAATCTTATGATCTACTTGAACTCAAATTGCATTGTGTTCGAGAAATACATTCACTTTCAAATTAATTTGGTTTCTATGAGAGACTCAACTGAACTCTCGTTTATGACATTCTACAACTGAATGAGCTGCACACAGGCCAATTAATGCTTCAGTAGTCAGTATTTGAGATATCGCAGTATATTTTCATGAAGGAAACTACTCAAAAGGTTACTGAAAACTTTCGACAGCCCGCGGCCAACTTTGCCCTTATTGCGGTTCATCAGCTAGGTGCAGTCCCAGAGTTTTGGTCAATTTAGCGTTCTACTTGAACGCGCGATTCAGTCGAGTCCCTCGTGAAAAACCACATTGATTTGCAAATGAGTGTATTTCTCGAAAATATTCATTTTACTTCCCTTAGTCTCAGGAGCTGTAAAATACAAGACAGCTGTCTAACGTGATTAGGACCTAGCTAAAAAACAAAAACGTTACAAATTTTGCTCATATGATAAAAAGGACAAAAAACGTTGTGGCATCACAATAACTTTTGAACCGTGACTGATAAACGCTACTGATGAGGACTTCCCTAATAGACAGCTGTCGATCGAAACAATATGAAACAAACCATCTGAATTTGCCACTTGGCAATATTGAAACAAACCTCAACTGGGTGCGACTAAATTCAAGTGGTGAATCTCAAAGAAAAATCCGCAGTGAAATTTCTTTTAAGGCTAACAGTATTAGGGGTCCATAATAACTATCGTCCACTCAGTGTCACTAACTTCATGATCATCAGAATCATCCAGAAAACAAAAAACTATTAGTACGTGGTGGAATTCTCCAAAGCGGGTACGCACATTTTAGCTTCAAGAACTGAAATTAGAGGGCTGAGGACAGAAATGTTCAAATCAAAGTTACCTGTTGTAGAGGAAATAGAAAGATATTTCTGATGAGTGAAGCAACCGCACGCGAAATTAGCTGATACTGACGCCAAATTTAATCGAATCGGTTTTGTGTTCTTCTGTTGCGTGTGATGCAGAATAGCCCGGTGTCACATTTTAGGACCTCGAATTCCCTGTCCTTAAAAAAATACGACACTTCCAATGTGACTTGCCAAACTTCCCAGTCTCCATCGCATTGCTGGAAAACCTTCTGTTTGACCGAGTCCTGAGAGCTGACATTGCAGGCTTAAACCGAAAAACCATTGTCGTCTCCATAATGACCTACTGGAAAATCATATTTAATGAGTTTTATTGCGCTGAATTTGAGTACAGTGGTGTTTGGCATAAAAGAAAAAGGAAGTAAAGCAGCTCGCGTGGGCATTTTCTATCCCCATTTCAAAACTTCGCGATGTGTGTTGGATAGTTTCAATAAATTCTGTGAAATACAAACATCTCTAGGTGGCAGATGGGGAATAAAGATTGGCCGAGACACTGGTACAGTTTATTGCATATTTTGCATCAAAAAGTAACCTTTTTACTTACTTAACTGAGTGGGCTATTTATCAGCATAAACATTGCCTTTTTGAATCGACTTGTGCGTCACATGGTTTGACTTGGTTCGTCTAGTCAATCGCTGGTGGTTTATTCTCATTAGATGCAGAACCCATTCTTGCCACGATAAGTATTTGGGGTCTAATGTACGTAAGAGCAAGCAATTTTCAATGCACTTCAGTCACTCAATACTGATTCCTGCTCTGTGGCACAAGATCCGAAACCGACCAAGTGCGTCCCTTTTGAGAAGCAGGTTTCGTGTTCAAAAATTTTGAGCTGTATTCTGTCTATCAGATAAAGCTTTGGATAATTGTTTCCCTTTAATTGCCCGATACAGTTACACTCGGTCGGTGTTGAAGTCTCCTGATATAAGTCAGGAAATATGCGCAAAAAAGAATGTAACGCGCCAGAGCAAAGAATTAGTGTTTACATTTATTTTCTAAAGAAAATTTCTTCCAAGGCACCGAGTAGCCACAGCATTCATGATGACTACCTGTTATCCGCTATTCTGATTTCCAGTTTTGCACAAAATCCACTCAAACGCAAGGTTTAGCCTAGGCATGTTGTAGAAGATAACAGCTTCTAAATCCAGGCCTCCCGGTTTTGACATCGTGAAACTGATCCGTACGGAACGATATATGCTACTTCACGCGTATGTTGCGTATGCTGATGTAGAACCGGAGGTAAAAATTGGAGAATGTCCCACACACATCTAGTGGTAGCCAAAAGCTGAACAAAACGCAAAGTCAGTCGCAGTGCCATTGTCCTTTCTTCCTTCATAGCTGTCGCCAAGGGCCACCTAACAGAACACTACTTAGGTAAGTTTGATGAATA